CGCGGGCCACGCTGGCCGCGGACTCGGCCTCCGCCGCCTCCGTCGTGGCTGCCGCCGCCGCCGCCAAGACCACCAGCAAGAACTCCAGCATCGCGGATCTCAGACTGAAAGCCAAAAAGCACGCGGCCGCCCTGGGGCTGTGACGCCGACGCCAGCGCCCCGGTTGCGCCTCCAGCGCGGCGTGCACCCACCCCGCACGCCCTCCGCGCCCCCCGCGCCCCGCTGCTTCTCCGCCGTCCCCTCCGCACTCCCGGAGCCCAGCCTCTTGCCGCCCGGCTGATCGCCCCTTGCCCGCTTCAGCGTCTCGGACTCGGAAGGCAGGACTCAGCGTGGGACCTGCGATCCCTCAAGGCGCGTCCACGCGTTGGCTGCTGACCGTGCAGCTATCCAAGGGCCTAGCGTTCAGATTTGCAGGGGCGGGTTTGGGGAAGTCTGGAGAGTTGTTGGACACGGGAGTGCTGGGACCCCGGAGTGTGGCTTCTGGCAAAGCTGCAAAGATGGACTCTTGCTCAGAAATAAAAATCCTGTTAATTAAAAAATGAACAAAAAAAGTAGAAGAAACGCACAGAAAACAGAAAGGGAACGTGTTTCTGATTACTATTTGAAAGAAGCTGAAATCGGAGAGAGAACCAAGGAACACACACACACACAAATTAAAGTATTTTATATGTTTAAAAATATGGAAAAATAACCTGGAAGAATCTCGAGAGAATGGGGGGGGTTGGGGAGTTACCAACTGAAAGTGTATGCCCGCCCCCATGGGCAAAGAAGGCAAAATGGAAGGAAGAGGTATACTTATTTAAAGAGTTAAGATTTTTTTAAAAAAGGTGCGCAGCTGGGAAGTTCACAGGTTTTGAAACTGACCTTTTTCTGCGAAGTTCATTTTAATACGAGAACTTTGATAAGAGAGGCGGGCCTCCTTTTACGTTGAATCAGATACTTTGAGTTAAAAACCACCACGAATGGAAGAGCAAGAAGAGGGAAGAGAGTATAAAAACAAGGAGAGAAAAAAATGATATTAAGGAAAAAAAATGATACCACAGTGATTTCTCTGAGGAAAATTACAGCAGAACTGTCCAGGCTGTTGGCAGTAAATTCCAGTTTGCATGTTACTTTTATTCCATTGATGGTGTCTTCCCCCTCCCTGCTTACTCACATGTACTTACTTCATTTTCATCTTCAGTACGAAAAACAATACCAAAAGCATCTGGAAATTGATGTCTATCTATATCTATCTCTATATATACTTTTGCCCAGTCTTTGATCCTTGGGGACAAAAGAAAAAAAGTTGGAAGGGAAAAACTTTACACTCTGATTGTCCCAAGAACACGGAGGCGGGCAGACAATGTGGGGAAAGGCAAAAGAAAACAAAAGAAGACCAAATAAAATAATGAAGGTACAGCGCCTGCCAAGGTGCCCATAGGAGGCCCTGAGTGGTCATCCCTGTCCCTTCCCCTCCCCCTTTTCTTGTCTACCCTCCTGCTGGTTACCTGAAGTCCTATTTGAGGACCCTGCTTTATTTCCCCTCTCTATCCCGTCCCACTCACCTTAAACAAAACCCAGCTAGATACAGGCACTAGGTTTCTGTAAAATATGTTGATACACACGAACAAAGTTTATTTTGGCTATAATGTGTGAACTGACGGTTGACTTTCGACATTTGCATTTTATCTCACAAAGGTGTATATTAAAGTACTTTTTTGTTTGTTTCGGTTCATGTAGCTGTTTAAAAATGGGATACCCTGGAGTAAGCAATCTGTATCCCAATGCTCTAGAAAGCCTCCTTAGTGTTTTTGTGTGTTTTTTTTCCTTCTTATTTACAAGAAAGAAGAAAAGCTCTTTTCACTGAACTTGAGTATGCGGTTGAGCTTTGTAACTATTTGTTCTCCATGAAAACAAATTATTTATATTTGCCATATTTTTTCTAGTGTATTAAGTTATTTTAAACAAAAGAAGATGCTGTTATTTCCATGACGTATTGTCGGTACAAAATGTTTCGGTTTCACCTCTGTTAAAACCTTTTAAATAAGTGCCAAGTTATTCATTGAAGACACTTTGCGATCAATTGAATGAAAATAGTATTGTTTCATTTGATGGGGTACGCGTCATCTTTGTTCCTGTTGTTATTAAACTATCCGAGATAGTCTTTCCTTCTTCCTTTTTGATGAATGTGTATCTGTCGATTACACCAACTTGGAAAGCGCTCGCCTCTGCGCCTACAAGCCGCAATCACGGGGCCGTGAGAACAGTGGCCCTGCGGCACTACACTGAACCAAACTCCCCCACCCCCATTTTATCCACTTGGCATAGAATCCGGATTTATTTTTACACCAAGTCAATAAAGTAACACATAATATATAAAATAACAGAATAGAATAACCCCCTTCCCCAAGATGGACTCTCGTTCTTCATTCTGCTGCACTTTGGCCCTTGAAGAAGTTTATTTGGGAGATACTTTGGGTAGGAAGAGAAGCGGAATCACGCGGCGCAGAAGTCACTTGGGTTAATTGTGGCATAACTAAGAGTCCCAAGTCGCCCACCCTCCCCGGAGATGGGCAGGCGATGATTTCGGGGAGTAGGGCAAGAGCCGCGGTGGGGGGCCAAGGCGCTGGGAAGGGCAGATACCCCACCTCGCCCTCCAGTTTAACTTTTGGACCGAAGCAGCTTCTTGGATTGGTTAAATTTAGGAAAAGGTAGAAGCCAGGACCATGACCGTGATCAGGAAAAGCCGGGTCTTAGCCATCAGAACACAGAAGAGCCCTTCCCCCCGTCCCCCTTGGACCCCCTCTCCCATAACAAATCTCCCCAGTAAAGCCCAAAGACGCTGCGGGTCTGGGGGTTGGTAGAAACCGGGAAGATCGGCCCTGGCCCGGCCCGGCGCAGATCCCTCCTTCCCCGCCGGGCTTTAGGAATGGGAGGCACCCCCTGCGAAAATCAAGGGTGTTCCTAGTGTCCCCTGGGGCCCTCAAACCCCCCGCCCCCCCACCCACCGGCCCTCTCCCGTGTTGAGTTCGCATGCAAATCTGTTCCTTGGCGTAGGAAGGGGTGATACGTTCATATTTATCTTTTTTGCTTTCAAAGACCAGAGACCAAGACTAGGGATGTCTTCGGCGCGCAGGCCTCGCGCGTCTCCCGACCGACGCGCGTCCCTAGTTTCTCAATAAACCTCTGCCCGCGGCGGAGCGCGCTTTGAAGCGGCCGCGCAGCTCCGCGCGCCTGGACCCGGTGGCCTGCGGGGAGCTCCCGTTGGCGCCCCGGCCGGGCCCGCACCCGCAGGCGCCAAGCCCCGACCCTAGACCCTAATCCAGCCCCCCGACGCGGGATAGGACAGTTCCTGGGCACCCCGAGAGAGGTCAGAGGTCACGGGAGAGCTTGGGTTTGGGGAGCTGGTGGTTCTGTCCCCGGCGCAGCCCAGCCCGTCCCCGCAGCCAAGCTGGGGGGGAAGCCCGAGGTGGAAGGAGGCGGTGTGCTCCGGCCCAGACGGGCGAGCGCCGAGGTCAGCCAGGAACCTTCCCTGGGGCCGGAGGCTGCGGGGCTGGGCGCGGAGCCCCGCGGGATCGGGCCCCGGAAGGGAGCGCGCGGAGCCGAGGACTCCCCGGAGGCCAGCCAGGCGGGTGAGAAAGGCCAAAGTTTCTGGGCCCCATCCTCTGAACGGGAGCCGGGCGCGGCCCGTGGGACCCGAGCATCAGGGGCGCCCGTGGCATCCGCCTCCTTCCTCCCACGTCAGCTCTGCGGAGACTAAGCGCGGGGGGAGGCTGCCTTTCCTGGCCGGTCCCGGCCGGGTCCTTCGGGCTCAGCCTCCCACTCGCGCAGTCCGGGCCGGCTTTCCTGGGGCGTCTGGGCCCAAACTCTCAGGCAGGAGCCAGGGTGTTCCAACCCCGAGTTTCCAGAGCCACTGGAGAAGGAGTCGGAGGAAGCCTTCACTTTAAGTTTCAATAAGGCCCAACATGCATGTGGTTTGGGTCCAGAGTCAGTACTCTTAATAAATAATGAAATGAAAAGTGTGCCCCCCCTCTCCCCGCCTCCCCAATCTTTCCGGGTGTGCAAAGCCTTCCGGAGTACAGAATCCCTGATTGGGGAAAACCGCGCTAAAAGAGACTATTCAAGTGTTAAGGACCCTATGATGCGAGAGGCCCACTAAGAACAGAGGCCTTTGCTTGAAGCTGGACTGATAAATAACTCTTTTGAGTTTTTCCTTAGATTTATAACTTTTAAGCTACTCAGATGGTAATACTTTAGTATAATGCAATGCTCAAATTTCGGAACTATTTTGATTTCTGAAAAATGCCTTTTTGGCTTCAGTGACATGGGATCCTGTTATTTTTTCACAAATCAGTTTACATCATAAATTGCAAACATTTGCAATAAGATCTCAAGATTGTTTATTTTATGTAACCTCAAGCACTCGACTATGTTAAACACCAGTACAGAAAGTCTGTGAAATCAGTTTAATGTGTGTGAGGGAATTAAAGGATCACTCCTTTTCATCACATAAACAAAGCATTTAAGATTGTTTTGATTGTCAATCTCCCGAATTTTAAACACTCTTAACAATTGACTATTAATTTTAGAGTCATTCTGTGCAAAAATAATTACTGAAGTTATATCCTGCTTTAATTAAATGGTTCTAGGCAGAATAAGATGGTATTCTACAATTGGGAAACGGGTGATTGTTTTGCGTTATATTATTTTAAATTATTTTAGTTCAACTGTAAATAAAGTCTGCAAATTCCAATGGGAGGAAAAAGGCCTGAAGTAGTTTCTTAATGTGCCATTAAAACAGTTAGTCAAAGTGCATTAAAGGAATGTCACAAACCCAGAAATAATAAATATGTCATTCTAATGAGAGTGTTAACTTATGGATAATTTATTCAAGGTAGTTTTTACTTTTCATATGGAATCTCTTATTATGACCTGCCTGAGCACTGCGATGCTTGTTCCTCAAAATCTAATATATATATAGGCTTGGATATACATAATTCATAACTTGTGTTGATATACTTATACACACTCCAAATTTTAAACCTTTACAATATGTTTGCATGTTTACTTGCATGTCTTTAAGACAACTGAAATAAAAACATACAATGTGTTAAGCATTGTATTGAAAGCAAGTGCTTGCACTGAGTGAAGAAAAACTACTGGAAAATTAAATATTAAAAAGGATTAGATAATTTTCAAGCTCAGATTTAGAGTGAACACTGAAGTAGTTCAGACAGGAAACATTCTTGTATAAGAAATGTGAAAATCTCCAAGAAAGACGTACAGATGTGAGCTTATCACACTTTTGATGCCTCGACAATCCTTTCATGTGTCTAATTCATGAAACAAAAAATCCTCAAGCCTTGGGGTATTTTGTTTTGGGTATTTTATGTGTCAGTCAAGGTAACCATTGCATATGCCTTCAGCACAGGAAAATTTAGTATAGTACTTACATGGAGTTCTATTGGCATGAGGAAAGGTTTTAGAATATAATCAAATAAATCACATAGGGAGAGTAAACATAACCCTCTCCCCCTCCCTTGTTGAACAACTGTTCATTTATCCCGACCAAGAAATTCTTATTCAGGCAAAATAGTGCAGGATAAGATAAGGCCGCAGAATCTGGAGCCAGACTTCCTGGATTCAAACGTAACTGCTGGCATTTAACAGTCCTGTGCTTTTGGATGAGTTAATCTTTCTGTGCCTCAGTTTTCCTATCTGTAAAATGGGGGTTAAAAATAGCATCTATTTCGTGGGGAATGTTGGGAGGATTATATGAGTTAATATTTGTAAAGCCCTAAGAACAGTGTCTTGCATCTGTATGTATGTATATATGTATGTGTGTGCGTGCGTGTGTGTGTGTGTGTGTGTGTGTGTATGCCCTAGCTATTTACATTTTAATAAAAAGGCCAATAGGTATTAATCCTTGTAATAAAAACCTTAGGAGAAGGAAATAGTACAAGACAAGGTATGAATACTTTTCTGTTGTAAGCAAGAAGAAAACATTGCCTACTAGTTTGTGATTCTAGCTAATTGCTTAGTCTCTGAGAGCCTCATCTGGAAGATGTGGCAAAAGTCACAAGTAGTTAGGGGGCTTATCCATCAGAGCAGTTCATAGATTGCATAGTGCTATATCTATGACAGATATTATTGTTACTCTGTGATGTACAGTTAATAAGGTGAGATATCAGGCATGACACTTTCCCTCAAGGGGCTTACCATCGAGGGGAAATAGTTCAAACGTACATATGATAGTGCTAAGAAGCATGTGCTACCACTTGCTTAGGTAAATGCACTTGCTTAAAGGCATTCAAACACATTATATGCGTCTGAATGGTCATACAACACACACGTGGGGCCTGTTGGCCTGTTTTTGGAAATTGAATCTTCCTTGGAAATGAGTAGCCTTATAAAGGAATTGTGGAGCGACACCCAGAGGTTAAGAAGCAAACTTCGTTAGAATTAAATGCATACCATATGTTGCGGTGCTTTGTGTCCCATAGAACCATCTGCATTTTCTTTGGCGGTCCATGTTTGCAGAGCATTAGCAGTAAAATGCGAAAAGATGCAAAGGCTGCTGATCAACAATCTTTCACAGCACTTTGAAAACCCATACAACACAAAGGAAGAAATGTTTACTATTATAAGGACCCGTAAAACGAACAATTGAGGTCTAATTATGGGCTAAATGAAGAGGTCCTCATTTCCAATACTTAAACTTAGATATATTACTAATACTTGCCTCATATTCTATATAATATCTATTAAGAGCTTGAGCACTTTTTTTAAAATCTTATAAATCTTTTTAATGATAGAGGATCCACATAAGAGCACTTTTTCCACATCTTAATTTGGAAGTCAGTGTGATGTCGCAGAGTATAATTAATCTGTAGAGGCAGATGTTCCTGAGTTTAAATCTCAATTATACCACATATTAATTAGAAGCGAAGTTTCAGGTAATTTCTTAGCTTCCTGGAGTGAAGGTCCTCTTTGTGTCCTGCTTGTAGCATACTTTGCAGGTTATTGCCAGGACCAAGTAAAATAAGTGGTGTACTAGTAAAGTGCCTGGCATATGATAAGTTTCCACAATGTACTTCTCTATTTTCATTATTTGCCTTTCAGATTACTGTCACATAGAGAGGACTTTGAATTTGCCTGTCAGTG